CACAAGATATTTTGATGCATTACTCATTCGACCACCCGGGCATATGTTGAAGGTTTGTTTTTTCATTGTTGTTTTTCAAGAATTTCCTCAATTTGATATTCTTCTTCACTGTCAACAAGTTTCAGTCCCAGTTCTGGTAAAGCTCCATTTCTGTGGTTGTATAGCTCTAATAAAGAAACATGGAATACAGAATAGATGTTTCTATATGAAGGTGGTAGTTTCAATTTGTACACTTGTTTTTTAATGGTATTCGGAATCTTGAAGGGTTGAACATATTTATGATCGAGTTTACAAGCTGGGCATAGCAATCAGAGGTTTTTTGCGTTGAGTATGATGTAATCATCTATTTTAAATTGTTGAGATTTATGTTTTGCATTGTAATAGGTTTTCTGCATTTGTCACACTTTTTGTAGATTCTCAATGAGCTTGTGGTGTGTTTCCTCAATATGTTTCGTGCGGCTAGCAGCATATATAGCAACCGGTTGTGGTGATTTGTTGATGTTAATTTTCAAATCAAGTCAATATCCTATTAAAGCTTCTGTGGATGCCATTTCAGTAGAGACATGTTGAGAGGTATTGTAAACAAACTGTGTTAGTGATAGCCAGTGTGCTCAATCATCTTGATGATAGTTGATAAAGCATTAGAGATAATGTTTCAAGGTTTGATTCTGTCATTCCATTTGACCATCTATTTGAGGGTGAAAGGCTGTCGAAAGTTGCCGGCATGCGCCTAGCATGTAACAAAAGGTGGATCAGTAATGGCTTGTAAACAGCGAACTTCAATCAGATATATGGTTTTTATATACTCTGTAAATTGTATAGAACTTGGTATAAACGATTTCCACTAACTCATCCACTGTAATGTTTTTGATGCAAGGAATATAGATCGTAAACTTAGTATACATATCTACAATCACTAAAATTACATCATAGGTTTGATGGAGGTATGTAGAGGCTGGCAAGCCTGTAATAAAATCCATAATAATGAATTCAAAAGGATTTGATGATAAGAAAATTGTACTCAACTCTTCATATTGTCTGTGCTGTTTTGACTTTACTATTTGACAAGTATCATAAATGGATATATAATTTTTGACATTTCTGACTAGCTCATGTCAATAGTATTTATTCTGAATGCTGTTTATGAACTTTTTTATACTAAAGTGACCCCCCTACGGATTATCATGATTTGCACTGATAATTTCATCAATGAGTGTCTTTTATTGAGAGACATATGCCCGACCATCAGCATGTAATATATCATACTCAGAATATTGTTCATAGCATATTTTTCAGCAACAGTTATATTCTTCTCCTTTTATCTTTTTTTTTTACTCGGTAGCAAAAAAATCAGATCTTCTGTGCTTTACTTAAAAATGA